TTTCTAAAAAAATTATATTTATATTACATTATATTATGTATATATAATTAATTAATTCATCCATTCGTACATTATTATATTCATACATCCAAATTAATTTTCATTCTTCAATAAATTTCCAGATTTTAATAACTCCATCATCACCAGCAGAAGCCAACAAATTACCAAATCTTTCACTAGGAGACCATTGTACACAATTAATATCTGCAATACCATGAGCATTATCAATACTACATGCCATTTTAAAATTAATAAAATCATCATTGCCATTATTATTCATATTATTATCTAAATTTAAATCCTTTTCAAATATACGAATTTTATTATCTCCACCTCCTGTAGCAACCCTATCATTAATCTTTGACCAACTGACTGAATAAATACATCTTTGATGATATCCACTTAATGTACAAATGTTTTTCCATTTTATATCATTTGTACTATTTGGATTAATAACTGGATTATTGTTGTTGTTTGATTCATTTGATTTTTTGTGTGTCTTCCAAAATTTCACTGTTTTATCATCTGACACTGACACTAAAATTGATTTTATTTTATATAAGTAATGATTATAAATAGTCATTATAGATATAATATAATATAATGATATGTCACACTTGAATTTTATTGATTTACCTAAAAAGTCACCAGACTTATCAAAATCAAGACCCCAAACTGTACTTTCATGACCTTTTAATGTGTCAGCACAACACCAATCATCGTCATCCTCTTTCCATATTTTAATTGTATCATCATAACTTGCTGATGCCAATAACTTTAACAACAAAGATTTATTAATTGATAAAAACATAAAGTAATAATAATAGTAATAGTGATAATTACTTCTTGTGTAGGATGCCATACAACCATTTTAACATCTTGCGTATGTTCTTGTAAAACACTTAAACACTCAAAATCATTATCAGAAGCTAAAAATATATTTGTACATAAATCAATTAATAACTTTTTTATAAAAAAAATAAAAAATAAAAAACTCATTTATTACCTACCTTCCCATATCCAAACACTCTTATCACGACCACAGGTAGCAATTAATGTTCCTGCTAAAGACCATGCAACTGATTTAGTTTCATTTTCATGACCTTCTAAAGTTGCAACATTCTCAAACTCTATTATTAAATTAATCAATCATTTATAATTAGTAAGAGTTGTTATTATTATTACACACTTTATCTATCTACATGCTTTCACATATTCATTTTCTCTTGGTATCAATTTCTCTCAAACACTCATATATCCACATTCTTACCTCCAGTTTCTTCATCTTTTTCCCAAATAGTAGTTTTAGAATCAAAACTAGCAGCTGCTAATTGTTTACCATTAGGGCTCCAACTAACGCTTCTTATTGTCCTATTATGAACACCTTCCAACACATTAACACATGTCCAATGCAATAATAAATCATCATCATTATTTTTTTCTCCGTGTTGTTTTTGTAATGCCCATAATCTGATAGTTTTATCACTGCTACATGATGCCAGTATATTTCCTGTATGTGACCACGCAATTGACCAAATTCTATCAGAATGTCCTAATATATTATATTTATATAATTTGTATTATTATTATTTTATATATATATATATATATATATATATAATAATATTTTCATTAATTCCTCTTTAACCTTGAAGTTCTGCAACTTGTACTAATCGTGGAAGCATTTTTTATATTATCATTTCAAAAAAACAATAGATGATCAACATCTTATTATTTGTGGAAAAAACAATGAAATGATCATCACAGTATATTATGGAGGGAGATGTTCATGCATATTATGACATACTAATACATTGATAGTGATTGAATGTAGGCCGTAGATTATTTTTTCTAAAAAGGCTTTAGTATTAGAGAAAATTTTTAGTAAAAAGGCGAATTAAAAAAATTATCAATATATTACAACAAAACCAGACGAAGTGAACATTATGTCACAAAGAAATTTCAGGGTTCAAAATGAATGATATTTGTTAATAAATAATGTGATTGTGATCTCATAATACTTTTTTTAATAGATCAATAAACTCATGCTGCGGTTACTCTTAACCTCGACTTAGTTAGTGTCCAATTCGTTTCACACTGGCTTACATTTGACTTTTTCTTGAATTGGATAATCTCTCCTGTTTAGTTAATTCAGGTTTTCGACTTTTTATTATAACTTGGATTCTGAATATATAAATAATTTAAGGCGGATAACGTTGTACAAACCCCTTGTTGAAGAACATGGATAATTTTGGAGAGATGTTATTTATTAATACTAAAGTAATATCTTCTTGATATTATTGGCATAAAGAATGTCTTCTGCATTATGTAGGTGATTATGTTCACCTCCATAGTAAACATTATAATAATAAACAATTTAAACAATTGAATGGTATCAAATGATTGGTATATATTAGTATATATTGGTTTTGCGTGGTTCTTGTGATATTAATGATTATAAAATAAAAACAACCTAATTAATGACCCTTGGACAATTCGGAAACACCAAAAACAATTTAATTCGCAACAGATATGAAAATAGCTTTAGGGCTCACGTATTTAAACCGTTACAGTTATTATTACACCTCGATGATATGATAATGCAATTGAATTTCAGGGGTGGCTCCGAAGTTTATTGAAATCGCATTGTTGCATATTCTTGAAAGGAAAATCTAATACCTAAGCCATTCATTACGTTAGATTTAATATTACTCATCTTATTTTTAGAAATGATTTTAAGGAACTCTACAACTTGCAATTGTACACAACAATTGGTAATCTATCTTATTTTTATAAATAGCCTTCTTGGGGAGACTACTTCAATCTTTTCAGCATTGCTAAGAAAGTTTTGAGGGAATTTCCATTCCCAGAATAAGCTCCAGTAGAACCCTGAAGAACACGGGCACGCGAAGAAGATTGTTTGTAAAAGATTCTCATTCATTCTTTCCCTTTTTCTCATGTTGGTCCCTTAAAGTTTCATTAATCTAAATTTAAGAATAATAAATAACATCAAATGTATTGTATAATCATTGCGAATGTTATAATGGATGATCACAGTTATATGGAATAAAGGTATTCGCATCCAAGGGATTGAATAATAACAATAATTATAAATCATGACTCATAATTATTTATATCGTTTAAAAAGTATATTAAATTGATTATGTTGCTGATAGATTTTACCTGAAAATGGTCGAGTTGGTGGTGAATACACTAAACAAAAAAAGAAGGATTAGTTGCTTTTGAATGTGTTTGTTGTAGTGTTTAGTTTATTCAAACGACATTACTTTTATTATTATTATTATTGTGATGTTAAACAATTTAATCCCTGAAATGTGTGTAATATTAATATTTAATATTGATTTTGTTGCATATTTTACGCTACCAACTGTTTCATTTATGCATTTTTTGAAGTATTTTCATATGAAAATTCGAACTTTTTTAATATAAATAAAAAAATTCATTTCCCCATTTTTTTCAATTATTACCATCTATCATTTTTAAAAAAAAAAACTTTTTTTCAGAAACGTAAAAAATGAAAAAATTCTTTGTTGTATTTCATTGTTTAATTTTATTATGTAAGTATCTTTAATAACAATATTCATCGTGCCGTGTATTATTTTTATATATTAATTAATTATAATATAAATATAACAAACAGATGTACGACTTCCTCTTGATTTTTTCAAATATGTAACAACATTTTTCAGTCGTGAAAATAAACCAACACTTTATCAAAGATACATTTCCACAATCATAAGCACAATTCTTGAAACTTTACCGTTATGGATGGTTAGAAGTCTGGTTTATTCATTCGGATTTATCAATAATCATATCCTCAATGGGTTATGGTTGGGAGGTTCTAAACGTAGTTATTGGTGTCGTAAATTAAAGATTAAAGATGCTAATTGGAGAGGTTATTTTATTGCTGAAAATGCTGAAAAATTGGATGTTGGTCAAGATGCTGATGTGGTGATTTTATACGCACATGGTAAATACTTGCATGTGATGTGATCATCTTGCGGCGTAAATATATATTTATTTTTGATTTCGAAAATAATAGGTGGCGGATTTGTTACGGGAGGAGCATTACTTCATTTTACAACATTTATCGATTGGATTCAAACATGGAAATCAACTTATGGAACTACAACCCAGATATTATCGGTTGAATACGGTTGATAATCAATTACTATTCATATATAAAAAATAAAATTAATCAATCAATTAGTTATTCCCTATTCCTTACACTTTTATTTCTTCTTTATTTCTTTCTAATATTATTAAAGGGCTGGCACCTAAAAATCCATTCCCTGGAGCAAGAGATAACATGTTGGAATGTTATGAATGGTTGGTGAATGAACAAGGAATCAATCCTTCAAAAATAGTTTTTGGTTAGTATGATAATTAATGATCATAGCTATGATATATATTATATTATATTATATTATGCTAATATTTTATAATTATTAGCCGGTGATGATGTAGGCGGAAATTTAGCAGTGATTTCAGTGCTTGAACTTATTCAAAATCCTTATGCGTACTCAGTAGATCTACCTTCTTCACTTATTTTACTATCACCTTGTCTTTCGGTAAAGAATCTAACACACTTGTATTTAAAGTTAAAATTAATTTATATGAATTAATATAATATATCTAATGTACATGTGTCTATATATATATAATATATGTTTTAGGGATTACCAACTTCTAAATCGTTTAGCAAAAATAAAAGTTATGATATAATTAATACGCAATGGTTGGAGAGATCTTTTAATAAATATATGATTGATACAAACCTATCATCACAATGTTCTTTGATTTCACCAATCTATGAAAAGAAATTAGGTGGTCTACCCAAAATTTGGGCTTGTGCTGGTGAATTTGAAGTTTTTTTGGATGATGTAAAACAATTCATTGAGAATGCTAGGTCACAATCTGTCAACACTGAATTTGTAATGGAAAATAATAATTTTCACGGTTACGCTGTTTGCAAACTTTTGGATAGAAACAATGGTGCAAAAAATACTTGTAGACACATTGGAAGATTTTTATTTACTAATTGATTAATCTATTAATGTTGGAATGTTATGAATGGTTGGTGAATGAACAAGGAATCAATCCTTCAAAAATAGTTTTTGGTTAGTATGATAATTAATGATCATAGCTATGATATATATTATATTATATTATATTATGCTAATATTTTATAATTATTAGCCGGTGATGATGTAGGCGGAAATTTAGCAGTGATTTCAGTGCTTGAACTTATTCAAAATCCTTATGCGTACTCAGTAGATCTACCTTCTTCACTTATTTTACTATCACCTTGTCTTTCGGTAAAGAATCTAACACACTTGTATTTAAAGTTAAAATTAATTTATATGAATTAATATAATATATCTAATGTACATGTGTCTATATATATATAATATATGTTTTAGGGATTACCAACTTCTAAATCGTTTAGCAAAAATAAAAGTTATGATATAATTAATACGCAATGGTTGGAGAGATCTTTTAATAAATATATGATTGATACAAACCTATCATCACAATGTTCTTTGATTTCACCAATCTATGAAAAGAAATTAGGTGGTCTACCCAAAATTTGGGCTTGTGCTGGTGAATTTGAAGTTTTTTTGGATGATGTAAAACAATTCATTGAGAATGCTAGATCACAATCTGTCAACACTGAATTTGTAATGGAAAATAATAATTTTCACGGTTATGCTGTTTGTAAACTTTTGGATAGAAACAATGGTGCAAAAAATACTTGTAGACACATTGGAAGATTTTTATTTACTAATTGATTAATCTATTAAAGAAAGATGAAAAAAAAAAAAGAAGAGAAAGCAAAAAGGAAAGGAGGAAGTAGTTTTGTTGGTTAGGTTTTTGATCAAGTTTTGGAAATTAAAAAAATCAAATTATTAATATTTTTTTTTTGGAGAGGAAATAGTGGTTTTTTGAATTTTTAGAATTCATTTTTCATTGTTATTTTTATTTTTTAAAAAGTTAATAGATTTTTACATAGAATCATTTAATCATTCATTCACATTCATTTTAAAAGTAATAATAATAATAATTAATCTTGGCGGTTTTTTTTTCACTTCATTTTTAGTATTTAAAAATTTAGTTTTAAATAATTCTTTACTTATCATTTATCATTTATCATTATTATCATTTACTATATATCATTTATCATTTATCATTTACTATATATCATTTATCATTTATCATTTATCATTTATCATTTATCATTTATCATTTATCATCTATCATCTATCAAATTTTTTCATTCATATATTTATCATTTATCATTATTATTGTCATTTATCATCATCATTATTATTATTATGTTTTTAACCCTCCAAAATAAAATAATGGCATTTTTAATTCAACTTTATTTTGTTATCATTTATAGTTGCTACGTTTGAATAATCAAAATTAGATGAGATCCAAAGAAGCAAGTATTAATTTGAAAATGATAGATTTAGTGGTTTCTTGGAAATTCTTTTTTTCTAGTTTCAATAATTTTGGATGTTTATTGACAATCTCCGAGACAGAATTAGAAGCTTCAAAAAAAAATGTTGCCCAATGTAAAATAAAATATAATCTAATATTTAATATTTAAAAAAGAATATAAAAAAAAATTACATAATTACATATATGTGTGTGTATGTATGTTTATATATATATATGGTATTATTATTATTTAATTTCCATATTAAAAAAAAAAAATTACAAAGAGAGGAAAAAAGTTTATATATTTAAAAAAAAAAAAAACAATTGGCAGTCAATTAATTAATTAATGAGTTACTAATTAAATATTGTTTTATTTATTTTACACATTTTCTTCTGGTGTGGTTCTCATAATTGTTTCCACTCTTTTAACTCTAACATAATTTGTAACACTTCTGATTACAATAAACCATCCTAAAGACATTAGAATATAACTACAAAATATTACGATTATTATCATGATGATTGTGAATTATTATGATTATTAAGATGTTAATTAATAATTTATTAATTATCATTAATTACCTTAACCATTCATTTTTTGCTAAACCATCTTTATCACTATCATCATCACTATAATTATAATATTCAGCATCTTGTAATGATTTACCACGAAGGTAGAAACCATACTGCACCAATGTAATACCTAAACCAGCCTGAGACCCATTCTATTTTATCAATCAATCGATTAATTGATATTATTAATTAATATTATTAATTAATGTGCATATGTAGATATTGAAATAAAACTTACCTTTGCTGCATGACTTGTATGTAAAAGATAAGTTAACAGAAATCCAACAAATTGAAAACTCATTGATACTATTCGTAAATAATATAAAGTTAATTATAAAATGGATAATAAATAAACAATAAATAAATATTTACCAAGCATATTCCAAACAAAACTAAAAAAATTTCCTACTGGTAATCCTTCAACAAGAACTTCATCTCCCATTAATCCTGGTGCAATAATGGTTGTTTCCCAATAAGGTGGTGTTGCATCAGCTGCTGCTGCTTCATATGGCTGAAGTAAGGAAGAAAAAAATTATTTAGCTAATTAATTGATAAATAATAATTAATGAATGCGAAATACTAACAGGTGGATTTTCTTCTTCTTTTTCAGCTTCTGTTTCAGGCTTAGCTGATAAATTTGAAAATACACCATCAGTGGAATGTGGTGCACCACCACCACCACTATTGTTGTTGTTGTTGGGTTTTCTCTTTATCTTGTTTAATATAGAAAATCTGCCAATAATACTATTATTATTATTATTATTATTATTATTACTATTACTGAGATTAGAGCTTATCATAGGAGCGGTTTCGTTGCTATGACTATCATTAGTACTATTAATATTATTGTCATTGATATCCATACTCTCTATTATATCTTCTTCTTCTTCTACTTCAATATTATTATCGTTATTGTGTTGTTGCGTCGATGGTATAGGGATAATAGGTGGTGCAGGACTTGTTGAACGTGGCGATGTTGAAGACTCTCCTAAACTACCGTTATTATTAACAATACTTGTTGCTTCCTCATAAGAAGGTACTTGAAGTTCAACTTCTTGAACATCTTCTGAATTAGAAACCTAAAAAAGAAATAATGAAATTAATAGTAATCTAACGAAGAATTTAATTAATTTTTTAAAATAATGAAAAACTTACTCTCGAATATTTACTCATTCTTAATTAATTTAATTATAATGTGATTGTAATAAGAAAAAACAAATAGTAAAAAAGAGAATAATAACGGATAATTAATGAAAGTTTATTTTTATTTAAAGGAAAAAAAAATAAAATTTTTTATTAGGAAAGACTAAGGAGAAGGAAATAATAAATGAAAACAAAGTGTTATACTATATTACTAATTATAAGTTTTAGTTTTTAATATTGAATATGAAAAAAAAATATTAATTTTAATTGTGTTGCAAAATTATTTATAGAAAAAAAAAAAAAAAGATATTCCCAAATATGAGAATTTGGGTTTTTTGCGTGTGACAGTATGAAAATAAATTACAATAAAAAATGAGTCTTCAATTTATGTCTTCTAACAATTTAACAAAGGATTTTTATATTGATAATGATGAAGAATGTCCAATATGTAGGAATAATCGATATCTTACACCAAACATGAAGTTACTTGTCAGTGAATGTTATCATAAAATGTTAGGAGAATCACTCTTCATTCACTCAAAATTCTCTTTACAAATTATAGTATAATTACTGACCATCTATTCCTTTTATTTATATATATTCAGGTGTGAATCATGCATTGACAGATTATTTGCCAATGGTGCAGGACCTTGCCCAATTTGCAAACAAACTTTAAGAAAAATTAATTTTGTTGTTCCAACCTTTGAAGATTTAAGAGTCGAAAAAGAAATTAAAATTAGAAAAAAACTTGCACATCAGTAAATATATTTAGATATTTATATGTGTATGAGAGTGAGTGAGTTTATTTGTTAGTTTGCTTGTGTCTTTAATTCACCAACCATTTTTTTTTTTAAAATAAAAGATTTAATAAGAGACAAGAAGATTTTGATAGTTTAAAAGGATACAATGATTATTTGGAAATGGTTGAAGATATAGGTATAGATTTATATATTATGTACATGCATGTACATTTACACGTATGTATTTATATTTTACATCTACAAATATCAACACTTGTAATAACTTTAGCTTGGGATCTTATAAATGATACAAATAAAAAAGAAACTGAAGCAGTAATAGAAAAGTTCACTTCAGAAAATAGAGACATAATAGCACAAAATGCAAAGAAACAAGTAAATAAATAAATAATATATATATATAGTTATAAGAGTTCTATTGATTAATATTAATTGTTATTTAGGAGGAAGAAGAAAAATTTGCAAATTATATTTCAGAAATAGAAAAAAGAAATAAAAAAAGAAAATTCGAAGATTATAAAAAAGAATTAGATGAAGAGCGAAGGGCAAAAGAGGCTCATGAGGCAGAAATAATAAGAGAATTGGTTAGCTATCAATTATTAGTTGCTAGTTATATAATTTAATTAGTTAGTCAATCAATTAATCAATTAATTTGTTTTCATATTAAATATTTACTATGTCCAATTGTTTCATCAACGCATCAATTCATTCATCAATTACAAGGCAAATTCTACAGCCCCAGCATCTGAAACAATAAAAACATTGGCATACAAAAAATCTATTGCTGTTTCTTCTTCAACAAGTAGTACTGGCAAAGATTTCATATCAGGGTTGTCGCAAACTTCTTTAGAAGAGTATGATAGTGGAATTGCTATTAATGAGTTGATTGGATTTAAAAATAGAAAAATGCCAAAAGAAGACACTTTACAATTTGTTCCTCTTATTGATGAATATATGGATGTTGATCATTATACATTAAAAGATCGTTATTATGATCCGTATCCTTTTGATATTATTATAATTTTTTTTTTGTGTCTTGTGTATGCATGCATTGTCATTATTATTTTTTCCTAACCAAATAACAGTTATATTGAAACAACAACACGTTTACGTAGTGGTGGATTTTCACAAAAATACATATATAAACGATCTTTAGAAGCTGCTTTCTCTGGATTATTTTCATCAATAAAATCTGATGATGATTATAATATGATAATTGATCAATAATCAATTGGTATATTCTGACATTATATATATGATAGTATGTTATTTGAATAAATTTTTTCATATCCTTTTTTTTTGTTCAAGAATAATTGACGGCAAAATTTTTTTTTTATTTTTTTTTTGTTAGAAAAATTTATTTTTAATTATTAGATTAATTGAATAATTGATTTAAGTAAAAAATTATAACAATAAATAAAATTATAATAAGAAAATGGAAAAGAAGAATCATAAAGTATAAATAGACATAATAATTCATTTAATCAAATTACATTCTAACAAAATAAAAAAAAATCACAATGAAATAATTCAATTTAATTTTTCATATATTTTTTCAATTCGATTAACCCTTCTTCTCTTGAAATTTTTCCAACATAACCCAACTCGGAACTGGCCTTAGAGTTGTCTAGATTATAGGGTTTAAATATACAAACCAACGATTCTCTACAAATGCTTCCTATTACCCATGATTTAGCATAATTGAGAAATGGAATATTTTCTATAAATGCAACAATATTAAAAACCAACCCTTTAGAAAATCTGAAACTATTAAAAGGTTTTGGTGGTATGATGCCATATGCTGTGCCAACATAAAAATCAATAAATTCCTCCATGGTAATATCCTCAGTATCATCTTTGATTTCATAAATTCT